AGTGATCAGGATAAGAGAGTATATGTGTGTGTTTGTGTATGTGTGTATGCATGCACGTGTCAAGCACACTTCTACAAGTCTGAATAAATAAGAATTCAGAGTTTGGTTAAAATATGATAGACTGAGATTCAGAGATAATTTTTCGAGCAGTGAGACAGAACTCAAGGTGGATCAAGGACCTAGGAATTAAATCAGAGATGACACTGTATCTACGAAAAGAAAAAGTAGGCCCAAATCTCTATTATGTCGGATTAGGCCCCAACTTCCTTAATAAGACTCCTATAGCACAATAATTAATATCAAGAATCAATAAATGGGATGAATTCAAACCAGAAAGCTTCCTCTCAGGGAAAAAAAAACAATCAGTGAGGTGATAGTGATAGAGAGCCTACAACTTGGGAACAAATTTTTACCATGCACATGTCTGATAGAGCAATAACCCCTAGGATATATAAAGAACTCAAAAATCTTAACGAAGAAGAAATAGCCTAATAAATAAATGGGCCAAGGAACTGAACAGACACTTCTCTGAAGAGGATATACAATCAGTCAACAAATATATGAAAAAATATCTCTAGCAATCAGAGAAATGCAAATCAAAAATACTCTAAGATTTCATCTCACTCCAGTCAGAATGGCAGCTATTAAGAACACAAACAACAAAAAGTGTTGGCGAGGATGTGGGGGAAAAGATACACTCATACATTGCTGGTAGGACTGCAAGTTGGTACAGCCAATATGGAAAGCAGTATGGAGAATCCTTGGAAAACTTGGAATGGAACCACCAATTGACCCAGCTATCCCTCTCCTTGGTCTATACCCAAAGGACTTCAAAACAGCATACTACAGGGACACAGCCACATCAATGTTTATAGCAGCACAATTCACAATAGCTAAACTGTGGAACCAACCTAGATGCCCTTCAGTAGATGAAAGGATAAAGAAAATCACACACACACACACACACACACACACACACACACACACACACACCACACTGGAATATTGTTCAGCATTAAAAAAGAATAAAATCATGGCATTTTCAGTTAAATGGATGGAGTTGAAGAAGATAATGCTAAGTTAGCCAATCCCAAAAAACCAAATGCCAAATGTTTTCTCTGATTTAAGGCTGCTGATTCATAATGTGGTTTGGGATGGCATGGGAGGATTAGATGAACTCTAGATAGGGCAAAGGGAAAAAGGGGAGGGAGGGAAAGGAAGAGGGAATGGAGGTAGGAATGATGGTGGAAGGAGATGGACATCATTACCCTAAGTATATGTATAAAGTCACAAATGGTGTGACTCCACTTTGTGTACAATGAGATATGAAAACTTGCGCTCCATATGTGTAATATAAATTTTAATGCATTCTGCTGTCATATATAACCAATTAAAATAAAAAATGAAAAAAAAAAGAGGTCAACCTAGGGCAGGAGCACTTGCATGTTGCAGAAAGTGCTAGCCACAGGCTGCCATTTGAATGGAAAAGATTGTAGAGTCCATCACCTGGATGCTGAGGGGCTCAGTCTACTGTCACTTTAACACGGAGATGCTGGAAGTGACTACTTTCAGTTCTCTCTAATACTTAAACTGCTCACAGGGCTTCTGGCTGAGTCCGGGCTCTCTCTGATACCCAGGACAGGGCCAATCATGGTTCACGGGAAGGAATAGTGGCTTCAGGATGAATTTAAAAGAACAAAATGAGTAATCCATGAACTTCCCAATGGCTAGGAAGCTTTTATTTCTTAGTATACTCACAGAGATAGTTTACCCAATAAATGACTGGCTGATTGGAAATTAAAAGTTACTAAATGAAAAAAAAAGAAAATCCATTTGCGGTGAATGTGATTCACCGATCTGAATCCCCAGGTTTGGTGGATTCTTCCTTTGAGTAATGGGACAGTCTGCTAAGGGGGCTGAGAACAGAGGGAGAGAATCAGAGGAAGATCTCATTCTAGGCTTGGTGGGCAACTATTAATATAAAAGGTAGGTAGAGGAAAACCCAAGGCAATGGAGATAACCTGCCTGACCACCCAGCTGAATGGTTCCTTTTATCTTTCTGGTTTGAAGTAATCTTCTACCTGTATACTGAGATTTTCTAGCTAGGCCTGGGTAAACAGCTGAAGCAAGGAAAAAAGTGTAGGTCTTGGTAGCATAGAAAGTGTTGAACTACTAAAATAGCAATGAATTTTCTTAAGACGATTTGTGCAATTAGGTCTGACAAAGCCGTTTCTCAATTTCTAACCTATGTATTAAAAAAATAAAGCAGAAAGTCCTGCCACACTAAAATTCTTCAGAGCAATTGTATTGCCTGGGAAATCTTGTGTTACTGATTTTAAATGTTTTTATGACGTTCTGTAGCACTGACTCCTGGGAAGACTCCCTCTTGTCCTTGCGGCTTTATCTTCCACAGTGCATGAAGTTTACACACTATGGAGGGGGTATGGAGGGGAAGTAAGACTAAAGTTTGAGAGGTAGATCCATGTCCAAAGTTTTGTTTCTATACTTATGTTACTGAAACTTAGTGACTTACATTCTCTGGGCCTTTGTATTTCCAAGTCTATAAAATGGGTCTAATATAGCTGTCCCATATGGCTGTCCTAAGGAACATTAGGCCTAGTGTGTTACCTAGAGTGTAATAATGTTCAATAAATGTAGGTGCAATGGGTTCCAGCAATCAGATCCCACATTTTTCTACACAACTCCAAGGATCTCCCAAGACCTCACATAAAGAGCATGTTATGTCATACGCCAAAGAGTAAAAATATCAAGAAAATGAATACATAGAATCTCCTCTATCCATTCCACAAATACTGGCTGATCCTAAAGCTAAAGCGCCCCCATCCTTTTCCCACTCTTCTTGAAGAGAGGCTGTGGAAGCCATGAAGTATGGACAATGGAAAAAAGGTTAGAGGCAAGGTCAAAGAGGTAAATATGCAAAATAAAAAACAACCACCACTAAAAGGCATATTGTACACCAAAGGTCTAAGCACCTTACATGGAATATTTAACACTCCCATTTATAAATATGTGCAGTCATATGACCCATAACAACAGGGATATAAATGAACTAGGTGATGGTGTCATCATATGAACATCATATATGCACTTACACAGACTAAGAAGGCTATGATGTCACTAAGTGATGTATCTAATGAGACCACCATCTTATATGCTGCCTGTTATTAACCAAAACATCATGATGTAGAGCATAATTAGTATTCATATATAGGTATTCATATTTCATTCCTGTTTCAAATGAAATCGCTAATATGTAAGTAAATTCACCTGCCCAAAGTCACAGAGTTAACAAGTGGCTGAGGATGGCAGAAAATAATACTTCGTAGGGACCAAAGAATTTATGGAGGCAAGAAACTCTAGCTTAGCAGGGACAGATCCTCTCTCTCCTTTTTTTTTTCTGTTCTTGAAAGAGAACAATGTCAAGACACAATAAAACTTTTGGAGGAAAGAAGCAAAATAATGTATAGCAAGAAAACAGCAATGTCTCCAGGAATTTTTGGCTGGATATTACTAAAGTAGGAATTTGAGGCCTTTTCCTGGCCTGATATTTAGGAGGACAAGCAGTGTCCTTCCTCTGCAATCCTACTTGGCTAGTATGTGGATGGCAAGTCACCGGGAACAAGAGTGCTATCTACCAGGACACTTCTAGAGAACTGAAAGAGCCAATGAGTTCTGAAAGGTAGAAATGGAGAGCGCAGTTAAAGGTTGGCTTCCTCCAGGCTGCCCAGCTCAAATCTGCAGGGTGAAAAGGAGCCAATGGTTTCTATGGAAACTGTCCAGACACAATACTATAACTAGTCAAAGCCACAGTACTTCAGAAGTCTAGAAAGTACCTTAAATAGAGCACATCAAAATGGAGCAAGACACACTTCGATTTCTCAGAGCCTGACACTGGACTAAGCCTGACACCAGATTGCTGCCCTTCCAAGTCTTCTAAAGCAGACTTCAGAAGGAGTGTCAAGCACATTAAAAAAAAAATCCACTCATCAGATATATAGTCTGTCACTGACTGACCTTGGAATACCCTTCCTCTTGATGGGTTCTGGGAGGGAGGCTGTACCCAACACTTCTTTACCCTAGGCCCCAGGGAGCAAGCCCTGGGGCTGAACAGTCATTTTAACTTTAATGGCATCATTAATGAGAACCAACAATGCATGCTTGGAATGCAAAAAAAAAAAATTCTCTGTAATTGGACTGGATCACTTTCCATAAGGATTTTCAGTGTTTTCTGAAAAGATCAAGATTTTTCCCTTAACCACCATTATCTAGCTGTCTAGCCACAAGTGATTGAACAGAAACCAGTGGTCTCCGTTCTTCAGCTGTCAGTAAACCTACCTTCAGTGCCAAATAGAACAGCATGTCTGTGTCACAACAACTTTCTATAGAACCCCCGCCCCCAGATCTCACAAATAGTCCTGCCACCCTCCGAAAAGCTGGAAGGTGCATTCCCCTGCAGAGAATGGATGACACTGATTCCAAAAGATTCAAAGAACAGCCATTTTAAGAAGGTCCCATTTGGAAAAGATATTTAAGCAAAGCTGCACCTGATGAAGTAAAATAGAATTAGCCGCTTCACTAGCAAAGGCTTCTCAGATTCATTCTGAGGTAGACTGGCTTCTTTGCTCCCAAGTGGAACGAACTCAACAACAATATATCACAGTTAACTGTGATCACAGTTCCATGGAATTTCAGCCAGTGCCGAGAGCACACCGGGGTGCACTTAATATTCCCCAATCTGTAATCAACCTTTTGTACATTTGTTCCTAATCACAGGATACAGTTTCATCTTAATGAACTGTTTTCTTATCGTATTACACTTGGTCATTTCAAGCACACCTAACGGCCCATTTGGTAGGTTAAATTACAATTAAGGTCCCTTGGTTTTTGTTTCCTGGCAAGTCTTGGAGGGATTTGATTTTTTTTTTCCCCTTTCCACTGCTTGATTTCAAGGGCAAAATCACTGACAATCAAAGACATACCTATTGCAGTCCACGTGGAGCAGGAGGTGAGAGGCACTCACTGACAGTGCGACCTTGTGCCACTGCCCGTCCGCCATTCGGTATGGAAGTGCCTCTGTCCTGGGCTTCCCCTTATGTATGTAGTGATATCGAATCTCATCCCTCAGGCCACTGCTCTCCAGTTCAAAATAGCTGTGTAAAGAAACAAAATTTTGTTTTATTTCTGGTTCTGAATATCACAGCTATCGCCAATCCCCACCCTTTATTACGAGGTTCCTCAAAATCTAAAATTAGCTAAACACAACACAAAAACCATGACTTGAAATCAATTATACTGTAAGAGACCCAATTCACCTATTGTCTGACAGCCCTTGTGGTGACACCTGGAGCCTCTGAAAAGGAGATCAATTGAGCCACTGTGAGGTAAGAAGCCACAAGCTAATTAGCAAAGCATGGGGCTGTGTCTCTCATATAAATACAAAATCCTTCTTCTATTGTCTAAAACAGGCCATTTGGGTCAAAAGAAAGTATTGATGTTTATTTTTAGAACTCCCATTTTAACTTTTTCAAGAACTAATGAGAAATAAAAGGCTTGTTGGACATCGGGAGTTCAAATAAATTGCAAGAATACAGAAATTAGTAAAGTTTTTTTCCCCCCTTAAACCAAAGGCTATATCTGGACAATTCCTAGAAGATGAGTAGGGGAGAAAAGGCTGAAACTACTCACATATCAATCAGCATTTCAAATTATCCCAGAATGAAACATGCATTTGAATTTTTCTTTCCTAAGGTTATCATGTTTTCCAGATCCATGAGACGTCCCTAGTGCCACCACTGGAGACTGCAGCAAGTAACTTTGGGAACACTCCTCCCATATCCACCAGTGCTGGCACTTTCATGGGGAGCAGAGGATTTTATCTTCCATGCTTCTCTTCTGAAATGTGTCATTGACATGAGACCTGAACTCACTGACAGGCATCATACTAGCAGGTCACCCACAAAACCACATAAAACTGATTTTAAAGATTTAAAAACGGAAATTCAAGGATTAAATAACAAGCCCAAGACAGGATTTAAACTCATTCAAATTTAACTGTGCCCTTTCTAAGCACTTTTCTGCCATCCTAGAGGCAGGCACCAGAGATGCCCTCAAGCAGGGGCAAGATTACCTCAACCAGCACTAACCTCCAGCAACACATTCATGTGACAGTCGAAAAGCTGCTCACTGAGATGGTGACCAGTTTAATCCTGAGATTTAGAAGGACCTGCTGTGTCTCTTCTAATCCACTGAGTTGGCCTGACCTCACCAGCTAGACTGTTAATCAAAAATACAAAATGCATCTTCCATGAGGACCAAAATGAATATATCATGAAACTCAACCTCTATTATGCATGATTCCCAAATCTCATGTCAGAGAACAAATGCATATTTCTTGCTTATCTTTCACAGGAGATATTCCCAAGAGAAGTTCAAGGGAAGCGGAGAATCAATGCTAGCTCTGACCTCTCTTATTTGAAACACAACAAAAAAGTCAGGCCTGAACTGAAGAAGCTCCTTATATGAGAGCAGCCAGCTCCTGGGGCCAGGTACATACTTATTAGCAATAATTAATAAAATACATATTTTATAAGACCAAAAAGGAAGAAATTCCTTAACATTTATTCTAAAGACACTCTCCAATTTCTTTTAAGCAACTAAAACATTAGAAGAGTCAAACAATGCCAGAACTTAAAAGTCAAGGCCTTAGAGACTATCTAGTCATGCACTAATTCATTCAATATGTCTTCCTGAACACATAGTGAAGAAACGAAAAAGCATTTAAAATACAGATCCCTATCTCACTTGTTTTCAGACTAGTGAAGAAAGAAAAATGAATAAAATGTCCCTCCTTAACCAAAAAAAAAAAAAAACCACCAAACAAGTAGAAAGTATCCTAAGAGAAGCAAAGTCAAGAGAAGCTACTGCTCATTGAGTGACCACTATGTGCCAGGAATATGTGAAATGCTTTCATAGACATTATCCCATTTCATTTCTTTAATGCAGATATTATTATTCCTATTTTACAGATGAGCTCACATATGATCAGAGATACTAGGTGCTTTGCCAAGACCATGTAGCTCCAGTATAGAAAAGAACTGGGATTTTATATTTGAGACCTTACGAAGATTCATACCCTTGTCTTGACCCAAATGTGACTCCTAAGGGAAGAAACATGACCAAAAGGACTTCAATCAATGACAACGAGAAATGTTCGGAGATCGGCTGATAAAATCATTAAGGAGGAAGGTAAATACATTTAACCAGATTTAATCATTATTCCTGGGGTTTTGGCCTCATTGAGCAAGTGCTTAATGTATTATAAAAACATCATTTAAAGATCACTTTATAAAGCACTGGAGTAAGTGATTACCTTGTGGTAATCACAAATATATAGCTATGAGAAAAAAATCTGCCCTAATATTATGCTAGCAAATACTTCTGTCTTAGGCTAATATTTCTGACAGTATCATGTATATATTCAAAAGGTGATATTATCTCAAACTACTTGGAAGAACTTCAATATGATGTGTTTTTAAAAATAATATGTTAGATAACTGCTGAAATGGCACCAGGGATTAAAAAAAAAATACTGGATGGCTAAGTGACATCCAGATAAAATTGCTTTATGAAGTGAATAAGGCAATTTTTCCAGGTAGTAACCCTCTGCTAATAGAGATGTGAGGCTTAGTCCTGATAGCAATTTGGAAGAGATGGTCACTGGCCTGATGGGATTTGGCTATCGCCTGGGGGAAGACCCATAATACGTAGCAGAGCTTGTTACCCAAAGTGAAATCAGAGCAGTAGCAGCAGCAACAGCATCACCCCTGCAAATTCAGATTATTGGGCTCCACTTAAGCTCTATGAAATCAGAATCTGCATTTCAAAAAGATCCCAGATGATTCATGTGCACATTAAAGTTTAGGAAGCACTGTAGTGGAGTACACCAGGTGCTGCTATACTTCCTGGCCAGCTGGTCACGGTGAGGGCAGCAGAAGTTTGATGCTACAAGCCAGAGACTAGGAGCCATGTGGTGCTGGCAGGAAAAGGAAAGGTACTGGAAGTGATCACAAGCAAGTGTCTAGAGAGCAACGTAGCTCTAACAGTTCTACTCTTTAGACTCAAGTGTTGTGGGGTCTTCCTGAGAGTCTGCAGAGGGAGTGGACGCGGCAGCTCTATGGATGATGAAAACATCAGCCAGGTTTTATGAGCAGCACTTCTCCCCTTAGCCTTGGACCTCAGCCACGTGTGCTGTTCCAATGAACTGCTCTGGCTCCCAGGAAAATCTGCTTGTCTTGCAAATATTTGAAAACAGCAATGATATCCCTATTTATTTTTTTCAAGCCTGTTTCCCATGTAGACTAGAAACCCCTCCTGGATAAGGATCCTACCCGATTCCTCTTTCTAGATAACTTCCCCATGTTGGTCAATACACTTTAGGCCTGGTCAAATAAATCAATTTTGCACTTAAATACAGCATCCAGGGATAAAGGCACTGGTGCAGATGTGGTCCAAAGCAAAGTACAGTGACATTATCACCTGCTTTGCTCTGGGCTATGTGCGACCATGAATGCCTCCTAATGTTCACACTGACTTTCTCATCAACTAACGCCCCAAGTCCTTTTCCCACAAATGCTATGAACGCAAATCTTCACCTCCTATGTTTCCATGGCTGAGATTTTTTTTTTTAAAACCAAAGCCTTTGCTTCAGTGCTAGGCAGACCATACTCCAAAATCTGAATAATTCCCCAAAGCCACTCTTGGATATTAGATACAATCTTTATGACCTGGAACTGAAGTTAAATTTCATGGGATGATCTGAATTCCATGTTGTATTTGGAAGTCAAGTTTGCAACAAAAATTCCAAATAATATGGTACATCAAGCAAGCCATTTTTATTAAAATGCTTATCATTTTTCCTCCAAATTAATGCCTGTATATCCCATTTTAAGATTTCTCTCTCACACACTGTTAGGGTAGACAAACTCAAGATGTTAAAGTGGTTGCTGGGTGAATGTGTTGTTTTTGTGTATAAGGATTAAAAATTATAAAAGTTAATTTTAGATGATAACCAGCACTAATTCATTAGCAAAGGTCAGAAGTTTCTTAGAACAGTCTTCCTTTCCTAGGTATTCCATGAGGACATATATTATTTTTCTAGAAAAAGACATCATATCCCAGAGAGCCCAGAGTTAGTGCTGTACCTACTACATTCCAACTGTGTCCTCTTTGTAGCCCTGAAAAAGCTATTGTTTTGTGGGAATCTGGTTGAGAGGTCAAGGCCAGGTAGACTTAGGAAATAAGGCCACACTCCTATTCATGCTTTACTTTTGTTGGGATTCCCAGGGAGAAAACCAAGCAGGACTCTAGCTACTTGCTATAAAGGGAACCAAGCACACTACAGGTGTAGAGAGAGCACCAGGGTGGACCAGTTTCCTAAATCCTGAAAAATCCCAAAGATAATGAAAAAATTAGTTTCCCAGCATTATGTTTACAATTTTATAGGACCTGAATAAAAGTTAACTCTGCTCCTAAGAATGATAATGGTATCAGTGATAACAAAAACGATATAGTGAACATTAGTGATGTAACAATAGATAATTCTTTCTGAATTCTTATCACTCCCAGGAGGACTGCCTTTAGAGCTTCATATTTCACATCAAAACCATCCCCACAACAAATCTGTCATTTGTTATTTGCTTTAACAAATGCTCTTGTTGCATTAACTATGGGCAGGGCACGATTCTACAAATGCTGATTCATTTAACCCTCAAAATAGACTTACAATTACCAACTATTGTCATCCACATTTTGTGGAGGATGGAAGTCAGAGAGGTTAACTAACTTGCTCAAGACAACACAGATAGAGATAAGCAACACTAGGATTTAAACCAGAGAAGTCTGGCCCTAGGTTCTTGCTTTATATAGCAATCCAAGTCCATACTTTAACCATCGCCTCATTTTTTTTATTTATATATGACAGCAGAATGCATTATAATGCTTATTACATATCTACAGCACAATTTTTCATATCTCAGGTTGTATATATAGTATATTCACACCAATTCATGTCTTCATACCTGTACTTTGGATAATAATGAACATCGCATTCCACAATCATTAATTACCCCATGCCCCCTCCCCTTCTCCTCCA